CTGCTTCTCCTTCGCTGCCAACTCCCACTCCCGGCACCCAACCAGGATCGAGTGGTGACGGTGATGCTGCATCACTTCATGGCTCGCGTGGAAGTGACGGTGCTCATGTTCCACGGGAACAGGAAAATAACAACCGTGCAGATCGAGAGCAAACGCATACTCCTGACAGTGAGCAAGAAGAAGGAAAGAGGCACGGAACTACAAATGAATCACATATCAGTTCTTCTGCTGAGACCAGTAAAAGTGATGCGGATGCCAAAGAGAAGGAAACTCCGCAGGAACAGACACCCGTTTCACGAGAATCTCAACCAGACACCAACACACGTGAGTCTAATAACGCGGACCCCACGAACTCTGACAATCCCAGTACACCCAATAATGAGGAATCAACTTCAACCACCACTACTACTACCACAACAACAACACTTCCTCCTGAACCAACAAACAACAAGAAGGGTGATGCAGACAGCAGCAGCATTATCAATAGTTCTGTGTGGGTGCGTGTACCACTACTGATTGTGGTTACACTGGCCTGTATTCTTGTGGGCTGATTGTGTAATGGTGGTGGTGGTGATGGTGTGACTCAGGTCATCCTTTGTTTTCTCTTTTTCTTTTTTGCATACATCCCTACAGTCTAACTAATCTTCCACTTGTTGGGATTCTTTCTTCTGTTTTTATGTTTCTTAATGTTAATGTGTTTTGTGTGTTTTCACTCTCTCTGTGTTTATTCCTATAATTATTATTGCTACTCCATTGTGTGTGTGTGTGTGTTCTTGGAGACTCTCTCTGTGTGCACCTGGGCTTGTACTGTGATAATAATGATGAACTGTTTTTTTTTGCAGTGAGAAAAAGATAAAATAATGTTAACAGATGAATTTATATTTATAATTGCGTATATACGTACACATATAGACGTACACCCATAGTTGTTGTATATTTCTGTGTTTACTTGGTAAGTTGGTATCAGTAGTTAGTATCTCTATGTTTGTTTGCTTATGGTTTGCTGGATCGTTGTGTGTGGTTTGCCCTGCACCGTTGTGTTGATGTTTTGTTTTCTGCAGAGAAAAGAAAAAAATAATAGTGATTTATACAATTTGTATTCTTAATTGCTTGAACAGACCAGTGTACATAGAGAGTTGTGCTATTTTTTGTGCGGTTTGTGTTTTTTTTTGTTTTTTCAAACTGTTTTCTTTGCTTGTGCGCATTGTGCTCTCGGTTTCAGTGATGTGTTGAATTGTTTTGTGCAGAGAGTAAATAAAAAGGAATTCATATATATTTTTATGTTTTTGCACATGGTTCTACTGAAAGTGAAAGGGTTATTTATTTCTGTGCTTTCCGCTTGTGATGCTTGTTCTCTTAATTTCTTTTTTTTCATTTTATGAGGGGTTAATTGTGCTTATCTCTTTGTTAATGGGTATTGTATGCTTGTTTCTTTCATTTGGATACTATTTGAGTGGTGGTTGCAGCTTTCTGTTATACTTGGTTTGCTTTTACCCTTTTTGTTTCGATCTCTTTCTCTGCTTCTTTTTCTTTTCCTTATTTATGTTTTTGTTGCCTCTCTCTGTTTTGTTTTTGTTGTTCAGATCACCAAATTGTGATAGTAACAGCAACGGGGAAACGTACTGATGTCAGTACGTCACGTCCCTTGTGTTCTCACTATTGCACTGTGTTGTGTCTGCAGTTGTGTGGTAGCTGATGATGGAGCTCAAGCTCTTGAGGCTAATCCTAAGCAACCTGGCTCTGAGGGTTTACCTGCTCATGTTAATGAACATTCTGGCGCTTCTCCTTGTCAACCTGGTTCAACTGTTGGGAAAGATGGTACTTCTCCGTGTTTAGAAAGTGGTGGTGGGGTACGTAATGATGATCGTGTGGTTGGTGGAGCTCTTCAGGATCCGTTAACGCATTCTGACCAAATACCCAAAACCGAAATAACTGATCAACCACCTGGGGGAAGTGGTCTTACCGTTGCGGAAAGGGAACTTTCCGAACAAGTTCTGGAACGGAAAGAAGTAGGTGGAGAAAGTGAGGAGAATCTCAAAAGAGCGGGTGGTGCTGCAAGACCTGATTCTTCTGATGGTGCTGGAGTGAGTGGAGCTGCTGGTGTTGCACCTCCTTCTCCAACACGTGAGACTGAATCAGGTGGAACTGTTAAACTCCAGGATAAAGGAGAAGCATTAGCTCCAGCGGTAACCGAAGGGGATGACTCTCTAGCTGCTGGTCACGGGAATGAGAGACAAATAACTGCAGAGGGACAAGCTGAGAAATTGGAAACCCCACCACAAGAAAGGGATGGTGCAAGTACAGGGAGAACTACAACATCTTCAACTAATGAAGTGAGCAGTACAGGAACTGAAGAAAATAACGAGAATCAACAAGCAGAAGGAAATGGTATTCAGTCTACTTCACCAACTTCACCTGCACCAACAGAAGGTGATGCAATGAGGGATACTGACAATACACCCAGTAATAATGAGGAATCAACCTCAACCACCACCACGACAACAACAACAACACTTCCTCCTGAACTCACAAACAACAAGAAGGGTGATGCAGACAGTAGCAGCAGTATCAGCAGTTCTGTGTGGGTGCGTGTACCACTACTGATTGTGGTTACACTGGCCTGTATTCTTGTGTGCTGATTGTGGTGGTGTGACTCAGGTCATCCTTTGTTTTTTTTTTTGCATATAACCCTACAGTCTAACTAATCTTTCATCTGTTGAAAGTATCTCTTCTTTTTTGTTTCTTAATGTTAATGTGTTTTGTGTGTGTTTTTGCTTTCTGTGTTTATCCTATAATAATAATTATTGCTACTACTCCATTGTGTGTGTGTTCTTGGAGACTCTCACTCTGTGTGTGCATCTGGGCTTGCACTGTGATAATAATGATGAACTGTTTTTTTTTGCAGTGAGAAAAAGATAAAATAATGTTAACAGATGAATTTATATTTATAATTGCATATATACACATATATATAGACTTATACCCATAGTTGGTGTATATTTCTATGTTTACTGGTTAAATTGGGCTCAAATATTTAATTCTTTTTCTTTGCTTGATGATTTTGCTGGGTGGTTCAGCCTTTTTTAAAAGGTATTTGTGAGTGTGGGCTTTATTTTTGTTTTTACTCTTACTGAGGTTATTGTGCTGTATTGAATAACTTAACTGGTAGGTGTTACTGTCACGATGTGAGTTTCTATAGTGGTAATCGATTTGTGTGTCCTAACATGTTTGATACTTCATTTATTTTCTTTTTATTGTTTTTTGATTGTCTTTCTTTCTAGATCAGTGTTTTTACGTGAAACAAACCCTTGTCTCTCTCATGATGATGATGATGGGCCGTGTGATGTGTGTGTTGGCCGTTGTGC